AACCGATGCGTGGCTCGTAGCAGGTCCCCTCGTCGGGTGTGAGGGAAGGAATGGTGTTTTCCGCTTGTTCGTCTCCTTGTAGGTGTCAAGTATTTGTTTCTGTTGTGCGTAATGCGAAGGCCTGCGAGATCAGGCCCTGGTGCGTTAGGTGGTAAAAAAGAAAAGTCCAAAGTGAGAGAGCTCCCAGTGATCAATCTGAATCTGGCACCCTTTTGAGATTATCAGCAATAAAGCCACGGGCCTCCCGAGTCCTTCCTGAGACAGAGTCCTGCAGACTTGGACTGATGAGAAGCTCAACATGAGCTGGCAATGTGTGCTTGCAGCCCAGAAATCCAACCGTATCCTGGGCTGCATCAAGAGAAGCGTATAGGAAAGACAGACCTGTTGGAGGAGGTGCAGAGCAGGCCACAAAAACGATCCAAGTGCTGGAACACCTCTCCTGTGAGAAAAGGCTGAGAGAGTTTGGGTTGTTCAGCCTGGAGAAGAGGAGGCTCCAGGGAGACCTTACTGAGGCCTTTCAATACTTAGGAGGCTTATAAGACAGATGGCAACAGGCTTTTTTAGCAGGGTCTGTTGCTGTAGGACAAGGGGAAATGGTTTTAAAGTAAAAGACTAGATTTATACAGGATATAAGGAAGAAATTCTTTACAACGAGGATGGTGCAACACTGCACAGGTTGCCCAGAGAGGTGGTAGATGCCCCATCCCTGGAAACATTCAACACCAGGTTGGATTGGGCTCTGAGCAACCTGGTCTAGTGGAAGATGTCTCTGCTCATGGCAGGGAGGTTGGAACCAGATGATCTTCAAGGTCCCTTACAACCCTTACCATGCTATGATTCTGTGATGCCTGTGTGTAAGACTGGACTAGAGATTCTGATGTGTAGGTATTTTTTTCTTAAGGTTACGTGTCCTGGTGTGTTTCTGCCTGGGAAACATGACATTTTTTCTCAGTGTGTGCATCCTCTCTCAACATGAAGGGACAGAATGCCTTCGTCCTGTTTTCCCTCTCTTGTTTCAGGAGAAGATATGCTTTGGAAAGGTGACTTTCACTTGCTAGATGGCTTGGGCTAGGTGGTCTAATGTCTCAAGCCTTGTACACGTTGTAATTCATGCATAATCTGAGTTTTCTTTGCAACTGATAGGTTATTCTTGTTTTCACATGTATTTCGATGTAATGAGATCAAGTATTTGACCCATTCCTGGAAAGGAGTAGATTTTAACATTTCTTAAACATTTTATGGTCTGGAGCTTTGACAGCAGTGATTGTAAGAGTGTCCATCTCTCACGGGTGGTTCTTACCTAATCTCAGTAATGGCAACAGTGTATGTGAGGGTAGCTGAATTATTCTGTTTCAGATACGATTGTTCTGGAAGCAAGAAGATACCTCTATTCTAATATGGCTATCATCCATTCAAGATTTTTGTCATTACAGCAGACGTGTGATGTAAATTAATTTCAAAATAGATGGTAGACAAATAGTTTTGCTGCCCTTTTGTGTGCCACACTAACACTTGGAACTAGCGGGAACAGGAGTCTTCAGTGTGTTTTTCATGTACTTTATGCTCACTGATTATAGTTCTGGTAAATGGTATTTTGTGTTTGAAAATTGTTTTTCAAAAAATGGTGTAAGACAGAAACACTGCATCTATTGACAAGCAAAACCATGCTGAAGTCATTGCAAAACAGGAATAGGTGAAGTTTAGAGGAACAGTATATTTCGTATCTATTTCTTTCAGACTTTTCGTATCTATTTCTCTCAGACTTTTCTCCATTCTTTTTCAAACCACTCTCTCTACCTGTCTGTTCCTCTAAAAACTCATAGCAGCTGGCTCCCAAGAGGCCTTTCCTTGAGGGGTGTGGTTACTTTCCCTTGCCCGCTGTGGTTATTATGGACACAAGTGAAAAGCTATGTAGTTAATACACCTGAAAACCACAAAATATAATTTTCATGAAGGCCTTCACCTCGTCTCAGGGTGAACACAGCTCTGAACACGCTACTCTTCAGTCTCTCTGCAATAAAGGCCCATAGCCATGTTCTGACCAGAAATGGGTTGTATAACCTAGTTCTGCAGAACAGCAGTTTCTCGTACATTTACCTACTCGTAAGAGGAGCGTCAAAGTAGTAATTATCATGAAGTAGGTGTTGTTAGGTAAGTTCATCTTTTGTCTTACCTCACAGTAATGTGTTTTTGTGCCTGTGACCTTCATTAGTAGGTGCTCACTAGCATGAAACATCACATTTTCTCAGGGAACATAACTTTGCACAGCCCTCTCAAAAAAAAGAGTATTTCTAAAGCATTGTCTGAAAACACTGATGTCAGTTGAAGAAGGATGTTGGCAGATTCAAAAGAAACAAAAAAGCTGTGCATATTGATAAAGTAAGTGAAGTGCAGCTAAGAGCACCTTCTTTAGATGGGTGGAATGTCCAGCATGAATGCCCAAATAGAATCAGTGGTAAAGTTCCCATTTACTTCAAAGGGGTCGGAATTTCACTCCAAGGCATGAGAAGAGTGTCTTTGGATAAGACCTAATTCACTGTAGTAAAATCTACAAGAGCTAAATACAGGCAAATGCATTTGAATTTGTTTCCTAAAAGACGTTTCATACATGATATCTTAATTAATTTTATTCTTGTAAAGTATCTTTACATACTGCATAGAAACATACAGGAAAACTTCCTCACAACTTCTCATTTGTCTGCAGTCCCTGTGGAAGATTACCTTCGCTTTAAGGTGCTTGCAGTTAGGGCTTTTATTTTTTTCTTTTGGGATGTGTCCTATAGGATTGACCAAGAATTCAGCTGTTTTTCAAACATAAATTTCCTAATTGTGCTTGTGATTCAGTGGTTTTACAGTTCACAGAATTGCACTTATGATACTGTAAACATAATTTTTCCTACAAAGTACAGCCTATTCTGAACTTCATGTAGATATGGATGAATATGCAATTTCAGCTTTGGGTTATTTTTTCCAAAATATTGCATAACTTTAAAAATGTAAATGACATCCAAAAGTACACAAACATAGATATATAGTATTAGTTAAGTTTGATTTTGCTTAATGGCAGCTTGGCAAAGAATAGGGGAGTTATTTTGAATAGGTATTAAATTGTTCCTATGAGTACTAGATTGGTATATTAGTTAGTGGTAAAATGAATTTGTTTACTTCTTACTGTTTTCCTGAAGGTGTTTGAAAGTGCCGTAGATCCTGCTGCAGTAACTGAAATGCTTGAAAGTAAGTATGACTTTTTAAATGGCTGAATAGTTGAGTAATTAAAAATGATGAAGTAGGTCCATGTGTTCGCATAGTCTGTCTGCTTGTCTGACTGTCTTTTTAAGGTACGTGATCTGGTACGCATTGTTCCCCTCATATGCTGCACTGAAGTGAGCCATTTGAGTGTCGGCCTCTACTACCTCCCCTCAAGTCAGTTACATGATTTTCCTGTTCCTAGGCCGGGCTCTGTTCTGACACCTAGTGTTAACACTAGGCTAACCTGACAGGTCTACTTTTTTTTTTCCCCATCAGCAATTCTTTATTTTGAAGTCTGTGATAAGTCATTAATTTAATGACTAGTCAGTCTTTTAAAAGCCAAAGTCTTACTCATTGCTTGGGGGTGGGGGGGAGGGGAGAGAAAAAAATATTGATAACAATAGTCTGTCTACGTTCTGTTTCATCATTGCAGGTAACCTTTGGCCAGACTTTTTCAGTCATACCTACAGGAGCAGATGTTGTATTAGCACAAAAAGTTTTCATCCCTTAGCTTTAATTCAGTTTGCGTTCCTTTCCCCTTGCTGGGTCTCAGGTTTTTGTCCTCCCGGGGCAACACATTCATGTAACGTCAACAGAAGGTCAAGCCAGGAGCCACTGACTCCCGTTGTCCTATAAATACATCAGGTGTCAGCCACAGAGAGTTACTTTGTGCTGATATTTCTTTCCTGTGTCTTTCTATACTCCAGGAACTAAAGCCGAATATTGTTGATTATCATGGACTACCTCTACAGCTATACTTTTGTATCTTTTGTCTGCTTTTCTTTTTCCTTTGCTGTCCTTCCTCTATCCTTTGCCGTAAGGTTTGTTTTTTGATTGGTGTCCCAGGAGTAAACAGTAAATCTATTCTAATTATTAAGCCACACTGCTATAAATTATTTTTCGTCTTCAGGGTAATGTAACGAAGTTCGAATTAACTCAGCTTATGTCTTCACATAATAGGCAAGTAAATATTTTTCCACATGCTAGTTAGTTTGAGACTGGAAAGGATATTAGTGGGTGTTAGTTTTATGCCATGCTCCCCTGGCTTTCTCTCCCCTGTAAATTTCAGGACCTCCTCCAATGCTATTTCCTTCTACTCCATCACTTGCCATACATTCTAGGGTACACACTTGAGGAAAAAAAAAATCCCTCTTCTGAATAGAATCATCGGAGTCCTAAAATCGCCATATTGCATTACAAAGGTGATTTTTTGTTGGTATTAAGTTCAGCATTTTTGTCCTGAACTACTAGATCAGCAGAAGACTGAAGAAATTTAGCAACAGATTTGATAATATAAACAGAAATGGTTTTTTGTTCGGTATGTAATTGCCTGTCAAACTCACTGACAGCTGGTGGAAATCAGGTCAGTCAGTTAACGTCATTCAGGAAAAGATCCAAAGACACATTTAGATACTGTAAAAATATAATACATTTTAACCCTCCCCTTTTCTTTTGGACGTAAACTGATCTGTACATTTTTTGTACTTAGTAAGGAATCTGTGGGCAGTTATTTCATATTTTTGAGATAGTCCTTCTGCTTCCTTCTGAAATCTCTGGGACTGGTTGTACTTACTGACAGGCCATTAAACTGAGGTACTTGATGATATGGCAGTGGTTGTCAGTCCCCATGGTTCTACTTAGATCCATGGAAGTCTTTTGTTAGTCACTGAAGTTCGTGGAGAGTGTTTCTGGGGTTTCTGGATACTCAAAATTCTCAAAAGCTGTGACGACGAGCCTGAAGGAGAGAGGAGGGGTGAAAGAGTGGGGGAAAGTGTCCCCTCAGGTCTTCACCGTAGAGTCGGTTTGATTATTAATAAATTCTGAGAGATAGCACCTGAGGTATGGAAACGACCACAGTGCTGCACACAAATACAAGCCTAACCTCATGCCTATTGATGTTATCATGTCCTAAGTCGGTATTACTACACAGTACAGCAAAATGGTAATCCTGGTCCTTTTCCCAGAGGTGATAAACAGCACCGCAGTGAATACATACTGCAAGTAAGGGTTTACGTACCCCAGCTTGTGACCAAAGACAGCAACATTATGACCAGCGACTATTTAACTGACACAATAAATGCGTATGACCAGTGATAACAAAGTTGTTTTAACACTCTCTGGTCAGCTCTGTCGTTATCCCAACCCTTCTGGCCCCACGTTGGGCACCAAAAAGAACTGCTGTGGTTTAGCCCAGCCAGCAAGAAAGCGCCATGTAGTTGCTCTATCGCCTGTGCCCCAGCTGGGGTGGAGAGGAGAATCGGAAGAAAAAGGCAAAACTCGTGGGTTGGGATAAGGACGGTTCAATAGAACAGCAAAGGAAGCGAACAGTAACAACACCGGTAGTGATCAGGACAAGGGAACACATGGAGCAACTCTCACAGCCCGATGCCCGACGCACTCCCAAGCCGTGATTAACCTCCCCCCGGCCAGCTCCCCTGCCCAGAACCCAGCATGGTGGGTCACGGTATCGAATACCCTGTTTGTTTGGCCAGTTTGGGTCACCCATCCCGGCTGTGTCCCCTCCTGGCTTCTGGTGAAAATTAACCCTATCCCAGCTGAACCCAGGACAATGTTGGCAAAGGCAGAATCTGGAGTACATGAGGTGGGTTTTTTTCTGACCAACTACTCCTCATAGCGTTTATCAAATGTTGCACTGTTCTTGACAGTCTCAGTTGGCCCCAAAAAAACTACAGGGTCACCGCCACTCGCATGTGTGAGGAGGAAGGAGCCGCGGAGGGGAGCTGTTGTGGACTGACCCTAATCCTCATTCCCCATCCTCCTGCGCTGCTCAGGGATGGCGGTAGGGGAGTCAGCGATGAAGGAGTGGAGTTGAACCTGGGAAGAAGGGGGGTTGGGTGGGAAGGAAGGTGGTTTAGATTTTGTTTCTCACCATCCAACTCTTTTTTTACTTTGCAATAAATTAAAATTAATTTCCCCCAAGTCGAGTCTGTTTTGCCTGTGACAGTAATTGGTCAGTATCTCCCTGTCCTTATGTCAACCCACAAGCTTTCCCGCCTCATTTTTCCCCCAGTCCTCTTGAGGAGGCGTGAGAGAGTGGCTGGGTTGGCAGCTGGCCAAGGCTAACCCACCATAAGGATGTATACAACATATAAAGAACTATAAACAGAAAGGAGTGTGTAAGTATTTATAAATAGACGTTTTATTTATTTACAGCTGGATACACTATACACTGTACTACAAGATACAGGTACTACTACCATCGTACGCTCCGTAGTAAATAATAAACAAACATTTCTCAAGACACAGAAATATGTATAGCCTAAAAGTGAAGGAAGAAGTGAGTAAAACATTCGTTAGTAAGAGCTAATGGTATGAATAGGCCAGGTCGTGGTCCTGCACGTTACCAGGCTGCGGAACACAAACATATGTCCAGGGTGGGAGGACTTGAAAAGGGCAGAGGGACTCCAAAAGGGTGGTGGGGCACAGACACGCTGGAATGTGTCTGAGGGCTATGGGCCCCTCGTGCAAATCCCATCACATGCAGAGACTGATCCCATGAGCTGGACCGAGAAGGCAAAGACCTGAAGGGAATCCCCAAAAAGGCCGTGTGAACCAGAAGAGCCGGCCGATGGGCTTGTGCACCACAAACTGGATTTGGAGGTAAGCGTCACACAGAGAGGGCGGGTGGCAGGGGGACCTCCCTTTGCCCGTGGTTGTGGGGGATCTAGCTACCTGTAAGACCACTGCGGGGTGCAGGCTGCTGCTATATGTGTTGCCTTATCCGTAGGTTGGTGACCTTACGGGTGGTTTCAGGGGGCTCTGTCTTTGCAGTCATCCTTGCTAACCTTCATGAGATTTCTCTCCGACATCCTTTTGTCTGTGTGAGTCCCTCTGACTGGCAGTGCATCCACCTGACAGCTCAGCTGCTCCTCCCAGGTTCCCACTGTCCGTGTGCTCGCTGAGGGTGCACTGTGGGTCGTTGGTGAAGATACTAAACAGTACTGGCCCCAGTCCTGACCCCGGGGATACCCCAGTAATGACTTGCCTCTACGCCAGTGGCCACAGCCCCCTGTGCTTGGCCGTTCAGGCTGTTTTAATCCACCTCACACTGTGCTTCTCCAGCCTGTACTTTGTCAGCTTTTCTGTGGGGATGTTATGGGAGACAGCGTCAAAAGCCTTACGAAGGTCAAGGTAAGCAACATCCACTGCTCCCCACTCATCCACCCAGCCCGTCACCCGGTTGTAGAAAGCTATCATGTGGGCTAAGCATGACATCCTCTTCGTAACCCGTGCTGACTATTCCTGACTACCGTCCTGTGCTTCACATGTTTGTGAAAAGGGTTTCCGGGATTAGTTTCTCCATTATCTTCCCAGGGATTATGTGAAGCTGGCCAGCATGTAGTTCCCTGAGTCTTTCTTCTTGCCCTTCTTGAAGATGGGAGAGACATTTGCTTTCCTCCAGTCTGCAGGAACCTCTCCCAGTTGCCATGACCTTTCAAAGATAATCAAGAGTGAACTTGCAATGACCTCATGCAGCTCTCTGAGCACTTGTGGGTGCAGCGTCTTATGCTACATGAGCTTATGTATGCCCACTTTGTTTAAATTCTCTTTAATCTGGTCTTCCTTCCATGGAGGGCAGGTTTTGTTCCAGACTTTCTCTCTGGTTTCTGGAGGTTGGGACTCCTCAAGAAGAGTTTAACTGGTAAAGACTGAGGTGAAGAAAGCATTGAGTATCTCAAACTATTCCACATCCTTTGCTATCAGCACCCCTACCCCATTCAGCAGGGGCCCACATTTTCCCTGGTTTTCCCTTTCCTGTTTTCTTACTTGTAGAATCCTTTCTTGTTCCCTTTCACATCCAGAAATGTTGCCAGATTCAACTCCAGGTCGGCCTCAGCTTTCCTGGTGCTGTCGCTGCAAGAGCAGACAGCAACTCTATACTTCTCCTGGGTCACCTGTCCCTGCTTCCACTCCTTGTACGCCTCCTTTTTATGTCTGAGTTCAGTCGGGAGCTCCTTACTCACTCGTGCCAGTCTCCTGCTGCCTTTTTCTTACTTCCTGCTTGTTGGGATGGAGCCTTCCTGGTCTCAGAGGAGGTGATCCTTGACTGTGAACCAGCTCTCGTGGAATTACCTGTTCTTTCCTGGGCTGTATTGTGTGGGGAAGTTTCATAGCAGATTCCTGAGGAGGCCAAAGTCTGCTCTCCTGAAATCCAGGGTTGTGTTCCTGTTTTTTGCCTTGGTATTTCCTCTCAGGGTCCTGAAGTCCCATGTCTCCTGGTCACCGTAGCCAAGGCAGCCCCTGCCCTTCACATCCACAACAAGTGCTTCTCACTTTGTAGAGATCAGGTCTATGAGCACCTTTGCTCATTGGCTCCTTGGTCACCTGGGTGAGGAAGCTGTGATCAGTGCCATTTAGAAATCTCCTTGGTTGCTTGAGGAAGCAACCCCGAAGAAAGTTTTTGCCACTTTTGTCAATTGACTTTTGGCTTTCTGCCCTGAAACAGGAGATTTATGTTCCACACAAATTCCTCATTTGTCTTTAAGACATGCTTTCATTATCATGAAGTAATTGAACGATGCCTCAGGTAGACAAATACAACAGACGTATTCCCTTCCATTGGTTTCACACTGATGGCTTCCAAATTTCACAGTGTGTGCTCATGATCCTTACCTGGAGAGGAACTGAGATTTCCCTCCGCTCTAGCATACAGCCGCCTCTGTCCTTCTGTTTGAGCTGGATGAGCCTCCCCTCCAACCTGTGTAGGAAGAACCCCACGTGCTCCATTTGTGAATGCTCGTTTAGGTCAGGAGCTTTTTGTGGGATGAGCATGCGGGGTTAAGATTAGCTTCTGAGGAGCATGAGCAAGCCTTCTTGGTGTTTGGAATGGGCAGGCTCCTGTGGACCTGGTGGAGGGAGGAGCCCAGGCTGGGTCAGGTTTGCTGACAGGGCTTGTGACTCTGTGGGGGACCCATGCTGGAGCAGCCTGAAGGACTGAACCCCGTGGAAGGGACCCACGCTGGGGCAGTTCATGAAGAGCTGCAGCCCATGGGAAGGACTCATGGTGGAGAAGTGTGTGGAGAACTGTCTTCCATGAGAGGGACCTCACGCTGGAGCAGGGGAAGAGTGTGAGGAGTCTTCCCCCTGAGGAGGAAGGAGTGGCAGAGACAACATGTGATGAACCAACCTGATGTCCTTCTCTGACCGGGTGACCCATCAAGTGAATGACGGAAAGGCTGTGGATGTCATCTACCTGACTTTAGTAAGGCCTTTGACACCATCCTTCCTGGAGACACTGGCTGCTCATGGTTTGGATGTGTGTACTCCTTACTGGATAAAGAACTGGCTGAATGGCCAAGCGCAGAGAGTGGTGGTGAATGGAGTTAAATCCAGCTGGCGGCCAGTCACTAGTGGTGCTCCCCGGGGGTCAGTTTTGGGGCCAGTCTTGTTTAATATCTTTATCAGTGATCTGGACAAGGGGATTGAGTGCTCCTTCAGTAAGTTTGCAGATGACACGAAGTTGGGTGGAAGTGTTGATCTACTCAAGGGTAGGAAGGCTCTGCAGAGGGATCTGGACAGGCTGGGTCAACGGGCCGAGGTCTTATTGCTCTCTACAACTATCTGAAAGGAGGTTGTAGTGAGACTGGTGGTGGTCTCTTCTCCCAAGTAGCTAGCGATAGGATGAGGGGCAATGGCCCCAACTTGCATCAGGGGAGGTTTAGATTGGATATTAGTAAACATTTTTTTACTGAAAGAGTGGTCAGACATTGGAACAGGCTGCCCAGGGAAGTGGTGGAGACACCATCCTGGAGGTGTTCAACAAATGTGTAGATGTGGCACTTCAGGACATGGTTTAGTAGGCATGGTGGTGGTGGGGTGACTGTTGGACTTGATAACCTTCAAGGTCTTTTCCAACCTATGATTCTATGATTCTGTGGTTCTATTATTCAATGATTCAGGCCCAGCCCTCAAGCCAGAGAGAGCCACTCGGAGCAGGGAAACAGTAGACACGCTTGGCCTTCAGCTTCGGGGAGTTAGAATCCCACTTCTGCATCTAGAAGTAGATCCACTTCAGATCCAAGTAGGGCAACTCTGTTTTGCTCTTTCCTTGCAGGACCTTTGGAGAGCAGTGTGCAGCAGTATGCTGTGGGATGCAAGTTCACACCAATTTCTCTGAGCAAAGGTTCAGGTTAGGTATCCGTCCTCTACCAACCCTACTGAGTGAGAGACAGCTTTTCGCTGTGGCAGGTCGTGCTTACTAGACAGACAGACACAATAATGTTGCTGACTTTCTGCAACCGTATTCCGTCCCTTCCAGTCCGGCATCTGCCATCTACCCTCATCATGACTCAGGTGAAGTGGGTCTCACCTGAAACTACTCACTCTCCAAGGGAAGAAAACAGCAGTGGCACAGACAGCGCAACTTCCAGGCAGGCCACGTAATCAAGCCCCAAATGTAGCCTGACCCTGGAGGATACACCTTGACAAAGCACTGCGGGAGCTGCACCCACACAAATCCCTTGCCTTGCTGCTGCTTTGCGCATGGGGCAGTTTTCCTGTGCCCTCACGATTCTGAAGCAGGATCTGACTGTGCTAGGCTCTGAGCAGCAAAGGTTTGCCCCGCGTACATACTGCCTTTAAGGGGCCATTTTGTTTCCCGTTGTGTACCAAGCATACTGGGGATGGGCATTTCCTCCCGCACCCATCATGCAGCTGCGTACAAGCAGTCGCATAGGCTTACCGGGACAGAGTGATTTTTCTATCAGGCAAAGCTATTTTTTTATCACTGCTCCCTGAGACCTCAGTCCAGCACTGAAACGCAGGTAGGCTCAGCTTCACTGCAGTGAAACGAGAAGACGGCTGATGGCACTGATCACAACAACTGCTTCGCTGGAGGAGTCCCTGGGTCAGGAGCGGTTTCTTGCTGACCATGCTGCACCTGGCTGGGACCGGATTTCCACGTCCTGTGTGGAGTCTGTTGGACATGAGGGCTGATGGGGAATTTGGGAGACTGCTGGCTACAGTAGACTGGGCTGGGCTGCCTTTGGCAACTGCCTTTGGCCGGTGGCAGCTCAGAGAAATTCCTCTGTCACATGGAGAAGCCCCAAGAATACTGTGTTGCTGTTCAGCCCCACCGGTGGCCTTTTCGTGCTGGTTTGTGGACACTGAGAACAGATTGCCGTTAATGCTTAACTTGCAAGAGCAAATGCAGAGGAGCAAAACGAATTGCGGTGGTTTGTATTGTGTGGGTTTGTGGTGTTTTATTTTGTTCTGTTTTGCTAAAGTGAAGGGGCCTTCTGTTGTCAATGTGATGCCTTTTATTCAAAACCTGAGCCCTCCTGCCATGTGTGAGTATTTAATTGGGGTGGATTTTACCTGGGAACTTGTGTTGTCATGTCTTTGAGCAAATGAATTACTCTGCCTTTTCACAACTGGATTTTGAATCACAGAATCAGAGAAAGGCTGAGGTTGGAAGAGGCCTCTGGAGGTCACCTGGTCCAGCCCTCCCCTGTTTTGTCCTTAGGTCTTGATGTTTACTTTCTGCTTGGGCTTCCTGCTGCTTTGATTAAACCACAGGGTATTTCTGTGAGGTGGTTAAGTGAGGGGTTATGCCCACCTTAAAAATAAACTGCTGGACCAGATTATCTTCAGCCGAGCTGGACGTTAAGGAAACGGCAGAACAGGCAGGAAGCCCGTTGAGGGATTCAGGAGCTAAGCACAGGAGCCTGATACCGTTTGGGTTCCCCTAGGTTATCCCGTGTGGGCTGCTGCCGCCGCCTCAGAAGAACCTGAGCCTCCTGTCAGCATTCCCTCATACCTGCCTGCTCTGTGTGGGAGTTTGGGTGCTCCATCATGTCTAAAATGCTGGAAAAGCTGCCTGTATTTAGGCCCCAGAATCTTAACCTCCCAGCGGGAAGGTTCTGCAATGCAGTCCTGCCCTGTGCCTTCATTTCATTCCTGTTTCTTCTGTTGGTATTGGTTCCCATGGTAGTGAAAGTCGTACGTGGCCTATATGTCCAGCCTGCATGGAGATGGTGGCAATAGCATGAACGTTGCTTCTAGATGCTTCTAGACTTGTCTGTCTTGCGTCCTTTCAAAGGTCTAGATGCTGCAGTTTGTTGAGAAGAACAGGGCTGGTGGGGTGGAAACACTGTGTTTGCCTCGTGGAACCTTTGCTTTGGGCAGGGGCAACTGGCAAGAGAAGAGACTAGGGAATGAGAAAAGAGTGTCAAAGGAGAAAGAGAAAGAAAAGCAGA